TTCTAGATAATTTGAGTTCGAAGAATATTATCTAACAAGTACCTATAAATTTACTCTATAAGAAAAAAAAGCATATGCTATAAAATAAGACTACAACATCTTGTTTTACTCTTGGTTTAAAATTATGTCTTTTTTTTTTTGTTGTACTCCAAGTTTTTCATAATTTTGTCCTGATTAGTCAATACTTAATTCTGGTGTGTGAGTCTTCCATCAAAGATTTTATATATACACAAGACCTCAAACTCGAGGCTTACTTAAACGATATCAAGCATGCTAATCGCTTGAACCAACCCTATTGGTTGGTTAAATTAAATTTAAAATAATTTTATTTTATATAAAATTTTGGTCCACCAGTGTTTGGTTGAATATCCTCTCTGAGAACCTTATGTAATTGGTTTAATCTCTCCACCTTTGCTTACTCTTAGCTCATTGGTTCAACATTAAGGCAATCAAAGCTTTAGTTGTATATTTATATTCATCAAGTAGCCCTCTCAGCATCCAATATTATATAGTATGTATTGCATGCCGATGAAGCCCTAATAGCATACTTGCAAAATGTGGCTGCCAACACCCGTGAACTTAGTCAAATCATCACTGAGTCATCTCCTCCAAAAGATTGGGCTGGTAGACATGGCGCCCCACCATTGATGCTGACCGGATCGACCGGCGTTCGTCATCGCATGTCATCGATATATATATATGTATTTGTCTGTATCTGTATTTGTATTGGAACGAACTTCTTTTGACCTTATAAGCAACAAGTCTAGGTTTCAACTTTCAACAGTATATATCATCAAAGGGTCTTTTGGGGTTATCTAAAATGACCGAAAACGTTGCGGCGAGCGGCTCGAACGATGACGACGGCATCAGGGAGCAAGATCGGTTGCTTCCCATAGCCAACGTGGGCCGAATAATGAAGCAAATGCTACCCCCGAATTCGAAAATCTCCAAGGAAGCGAAAGAGACGATGCAAGAATGTGTTTCGGAGTTCATCGGCTTTGTCACGAGTGAAGCATCCGACAAGTGCAGAAAAGAGAGACGAAAGACCGTTAACGGAGACGATGTTTGCTGCGCTTTGGCCGCTCTTGGTTTCGATGATTATGCGGTGCCGTTGAGAAGAGATACTTGGATAGGTACAGAGAATTGGAAGGAGATAATAAAGCAGCGAATCAAGATAAGGTTAATAACAGCAACAACAACGAAGAAAAAGAGGAACAATCTTCGTTGAAGTTCAGCATGACTGGAAGCAGTAAAAACTCCAAGATGAGGCCAATTGATTGAGGTTTTTATATATAACTTTTTAACCACAATAACACTGATTTGTATGTATTTGTGTAGGAAAATCATAGTCCGTATATAGATGGATGAGAAGCAACCTGTTACTTGCTTTTATTTTATGTATGGACTTCGGGTTTTTTTTTTCATCTAAACTTCCAGCTATTTTTCTTCTTCTTTTTGTTTCTTGCACATACACTGAATCTGGGTTCATCTTCACAATTATTTCTTGCAGTGTGATAATTAGTAGATTTTGACTTTGGTTAGGGTTCATGTTTGATCTATTTTCAAAATTCGTAATTATTCCTTCGAATAAAATCCTATTTAAAATTTGAATTTAGATCATCCCTCACAATTAATCATAAATATTGAACTTAACGTCTTCCCCTCGTCACGAGACTAGGGTTTCTGTTGATTTAAAATATCATGAAAGATGCATAAGAACAAAAGTGAGAGATAGACGGAAGGAAATTATATAGAAATAAACAAGGTCCGGAAAAGATGAACAAATCATTTCATTGCTGGACTGTATAAAGCACTGACTTGGGAAGAGGAGAATCTTTTTATTGAATATTCAAAGGATTCCAAAAACAAACTGTAATTAACTTCAGCATATGCTATTCGGATATGGACATAAATGATTCAATATCCATCTGGATTTTCTATACCCTTTTATGCTCAATCTTCTTTAATTACACCCCATAATTAAAAAAAATTCAAACGTTTTTATCTAATGTATTTTCGGCCTTCAAATTTGTTAAAAAATTATTTTGAAATTTAAATTTGTTTTTGTTTTCCTAACCCTTAAACTTTTGTTTATTTTAATAGACCTGTTAAGCTGATGTAAGTTGCTTTTTTTTCTTCTTATTTTTTAATATTTTTTGTAAAATTGACAATTTTTTATAATTTAATATATTTTTAGTTATATTTAAATAATATTTTAATTTTTTTAATAAAAATGATAAAATAACTAACGTTAACCTTAAAAAATAAAACAACTGACTTCAGTTTAACATATTTATTATTTTTTCCACTAGACGATTTAATTTGATAAAATATTAAAAAAAATGAGAGATAAAAAAGATAATACACATATAAGGATTAAATTGTTTTTTTAAGTTCAAGGACTAAAAATGTCATTAGACCTAATATAATTAAAGAATCAAAGCGACATTAGATGCAGAGCCGACTATTAGGAGGTGTACCTGAGCTATTACTCATGTCCCTTCTACCTTTACAACTAAGGGTCCTTAATTTTTCAATCCCTTAAAATTATCAATTTCCCATTCCTTTTTTACATATCTCTAGTTAATTCATTCAATTTCAAATTAAATACAAACATATTTTCTCTCTCTTTTAATAATGACAACTAGATTTCACTAATAAAACAATAGAAATAATCATAATTACAACAAACTCAAGCAAGAGAGAAAAATTGGGACAATAGTAAAAAAACTCATAAAAAACAAAAATATTAAATTCAAAGATACGAAGAAAAATTAAACCTTCCCTTGAAAACTAGATACTTTACGAAGTGATAAAGGAGTGGTGAGCAAACCAAACTATATGGCAGTCTGCTTCTCTACACAATTTTGATCGACAAACAATCTTTTACCAAATTATATGTGACCACCGACATTTCAATCAGAAAACAAATAAATATCTAAGAAAAATATTTAAATTTAAAAAGAGGGAGGTGACACTTTTCTGAAAAGTACTTTTTTCCCTTTTTCAAATCTTACTATTCAATTGATCAAATATTTTTTTTATAATGCTTAATCTACTTCAATCTTAATTAATAGTAAAATAATACATTCATTTTTTATTTTTATAGTAGATACGAATAAATCTGACCGCAAGGGCAAATAAATCACAAAAGATGATTAAGTTATTGAAAAACCAATAACAAATCACAAATAAGAGTCAAGTGACATGAAAAAACTATCCATGAATGGAAATAATGTATCCAAATCCAATTCGATGATCCAAAGTAGGGAAGATCAACATGATAACATATAAGCGCCATCTTGATCAGTCGTGTCGATGTCAAATCCAATCCTAAGAAAAAATATAAAGAAACCAACGGCCAAGCGATCGAAAACGTACCATAAAGATAGAAAAAATCGTACCATAAAGACAGAGGAAAATATGCTATAAAGACATAGTTATTAAAAAAAACAAAGATATTATATAATAAAATAAAGAAAAACAATGAATACCGATAATCGACGACCAATCTCAAAGTTAATATCACCGCTGAACACGAAGATGAAAAATAAAAACGGCTAACAAATATTTATTAATATAATATTATATTAATTGTTTAAAATAATAAAATATATTTTTATTTTGCAGAAGTATATTTTTAAGTTTTTGCTTGGATGTAGAGAACATCGGAGGCGGCTATTATTGTCTTTGGATGCATGTGCTTTAGTATATACATGACAGTTGATTGAACCAGTTCATTCGGGCTAAAAACAACCCAAGGAAACAGGAAGTAGTAGGTGAACGTGGCAATTTGTGTTCATGTGCTTCCACATCTGCCTCGAAGGCCCTTATGCCATGCCAGACAATTTTCACTGTACATGGAATATTTTAGATGTCTGGTTTAGGGTTAATTATTCTATCACCAACAAGAGTTAAAAGTTTTTGTCATCAATGTTCTTCCGATATGAAGTATGACAAGTGTCACCTTAGTTTATGGGATTATTTGTTTTTACTTTCTTATTCATAATCATTTGAAATTATGCATCCTAATCATTGATCAGTAACTTGTTAAGACTTTGAGAATATAATTGTGTAAACAAAATATAAATTTGTTAAAACGTGATTTTATGATTAAATTTTTTTATAATTTAGTTTGTCTAAGTTTAACTTAGTCAACGAAATAATAGAAAGACTTATAATATACATATTTGTCTATCCTTATGATGAACAATGTACATACACAATAATAAACTATTTTGCTTTTAATAAATTCATAATTCAGGTTTTGGGTGGTATGCATGAATGAGACTTGATAATTTACCATTTTTTTGGATGAATATCTACTTTTGATGAATCCATAACCCAATGTTTGAGTGGTTCTAATGAGAAGAATTATATGGACTTACCGGTAGAAATGTTAAGTTTTATTACTCTTTTAATCAATTAAATATCAAGATTTTGGGTGATTTGTTTGAGAATGACTAATTGAATTTGCTGATAAAAGATGTTGAATTTTTATTCTTAATGAATTCTTATTTCATAGTTCAGGTGGTTCATTTTAAAATAAACTTTAAGAATTCACATATTTTATTGTGAAGTTGAGCTCATAGAAAAGCTCTTAATGATTTCATATCCTTGATTCAGATGATTTATATTGAGATAAACTTAAAATCACCTATGTAAGTGTGAAAAATTAGCCACCTTCTATGAAAGACATTGAGTCATCTTTTTAAGCACTTACCAACATCCTAAGGTGTATTGGTTAAAACTGTTGATTTATCTTGGGTATTATTGGATGAATGAAGTTAGTCTTGTGTCATAATTTTATTCATATCTTAAACAAGTTCAATATTTGTTCATTTGTTTAAGGGAAAAGTCACTCATTTCAGTATTTCACTATGTATTAGTTCAATATATATTCACTAGTATTTAAACGACTGATTTCGATATTGCTCTTCTCATGTTTTTCTTCAAAATGTCTTTTTTATTTTATTAAAAATATTATGCATTAATGAGAAATGTTGGTAATACAAAAAATCCACATTAAGTAGGAATCATCTGGTGTGGTCTAGTCTGATTCATGCATATTTCTTTTTGACACGATCCCCCTGATAAAATATTATTTAATCAGAGTTTATATTCCTCAGCTGATTCAGTACTGAAAAATTATATTGAGCCTCTTTCCTCAACTGTAGTTGAACCACATGTTCCTAAACGTGGTAAAGGCAGGCCTCCCAAAGAAAAAAACACTCTTGCTGGTTCTAGAAACAGATTTGAGCTTCTCAACTCAATTGATGAAGCTCCCCCTAGTCAAGATGCCCCCCAAAGAAAAATCAGAATTGCTTCCAAGGGTGTTGATGAACTGGTAAAAGACCTCAAACAGAAAAAAAAATTACAAACTGGAAAAGGTCAAAAGTCCCAAAGTAAGGGGTGAATGAACCTCCATTGAACCTAACCCTCAATGATAGTTTGCTTCTGGAACATTAGAGGATTCAACAATCCTCTAAAACAAGACAGAGTGCTCCTTAGGGCAGCCCAAAATAAAGTGGATATTCTCTGTTTGCTTGAGACTAGAGTTAAGGCTGAAAAAGCGAAACGCATCTTTGATTCAAAATTATCAAATTGGAATGTCAGCTCCAATTATGATCATGCTGTTAATGGTAGAATTTGGATCCTATAGAAGAAAAACTTTGAGCTTTCTATTATCCAAATTTCAGACCAAATCATTACTGTCAAGGGAAATCACAATGGTCTTTCTTTTGTCCTTTCTGCTATCTATGGTAGCAATGATTATGTTAATAGGAGAAATCTTTGGCTTAATCTTCATGACTTGGATAGAGGCTTTGGTTACCTCCCTTGGATTTTGGGAGGTGATTTCAACATCACTCTGCATCCTAATGAAAGCTCAGACTATGAGTTGCTCTGCCCTTTCTCTTTTCCTGATATGAAAGAATTTCAATCTGTTACTCAAGACCATGACCTCCATGACCATCCCTTCTTTGGCCCTCTCTTTACTTGGAGCAACAAACAAACTGACTCTTACCTTGCAAGAAAACTTGACAGAATCCTTATTAACTCCAATTGGGCTAACTCATTTCCATCTTCTTTTGTGGAATTCCTCTCTCCGGGAGTCTCGGATCACTGCATGGGTATTATCTGGCTTACTAAAGACACTCCTTCTGATAGGCCTAAACCGTTTAAGTTCTTTAACTTCTGGACCCTGCACCCCAATTTTTTGAAAGTGATTGAACAATCCTGGCAGATCACTTTCCAAGGTAATCCCATGAAGACTCTGTTTTTAAAGCTCAAGCACCTAAAATCCAGTCTAAAAAATTTAAACTCCTCTTGCTACAAAGACATTTCCGCAAGGGTAAAAAGCAAGAAAATGGAATTATAAAAACAACAACTCCTCTCTTTGCAAGGATTAGACACCATTGATAAGGAACTTCAAGTTCAACAAGAACTGCACAATTTTGAAGAAGTCGAACTTCTTTTTTTGAAGAAAAAGGCCAAGATCCATTGGATTAAAGATGGAGATAAATGCTCCAATTTTTTCCATTATGTTGTTGCTGTAAAGAATAAAAAAGATACTATCCGGATGCTCACTGATGACCAAGGTACTAGACTTGAGACATTTGATGCAATGTCCTCAGAAGTAATTGATTTCTTTTCCAACTTGATTGGGAAAGTTGATCCTATGGTTAAAGGAGGAAATTTGCAATTCTTGAAAGAGCTTCTGAACTACTCCATTTCTACAGAAACTGATTCCTCTCTGACCAAGCCAGTAACCTCAGAAGAGATTAAAGAAGCCGTTTTTGACCAGGGCAACAACAAAGCTCCTGGTCCTGACGGCTACTCCCCACAGTGACCAAGCCAGTAACCTCAGAAGAGATTAAAGAAGCCGTTTTTGACCAGGGCAACAACAAAGCTCCTGGTCCTGACGGCTACTCCCCACAGTTTTTCAAACATTCTTGGCCTATTATTGGTGAAGATGTGGTGGCAGCTATTAAACATTTTTTCCACCATTCCACCATGCTCCATGCCTTCAATGCTACCACTATAATCTTGGTGCCTAAAATTCATAATCCCAGTAAAGTCAAAGATTTCAGACCAATATCTTGTTGTTCTGTTATTTATAAGGTTGTCTCAAAGATATTGGTCAAAAGACTTTCTGGTCTTCTTCTTGATATTATCTCTCTCAACCAAACCGTTTTTATTAAAGGAATAAGCATTGTTGAAAATACAATCCTTGCACAAGAGCTGGTTAAAGGCTACAACAAGAAAAACATCTCTCCAAGATGTTCTTTGAAGATTGATCTTCAAAAGGCTTTTGATATTCTGCACTGGGGCTTCATCTCTTCGGTCCTTAGAGCTTTAAATCTCCCTCAACAATTTATCTTTTGGATTGAAGCCTGCTTCACTGATGCCAGATTCTCCATTGCCTTCAATGGAAGTTTAATATGGTATTTCAAGGGCGCTAGAGGCATTAGACAAGGTGATCCTCTTTCCCCTCTGCTCTTTGTTATTTCAATGAATGTTCTCTCTAGATTACTTAATCTTGCTGCTGCAAAGAACCTGATTAGCTTCCATCCTAAATACAAAAGAATAGGTCTCACTCATTTATCCTTTGCTGATGACTTGATGATTTTTTGTAAAGGCAATGTTGATTCGATTATTGGAGTTATTTCTGTTCTTGAACAATTTTATGAAATGTCTGGCTTAAATCTAAATGCATCAAAGTGTGTTTTCTTTAGTGCTGGAATTTCATCTAGAAACGTGGAGCTTATCCAGCAGATTACTGGTTTCCAACCTGGTACTTTACCAGTTAGATATCTTGGAGTTCCTCTAACTTCAAGAAACTCTCGGTGAAAGACTGTGACCCGCTTATTGATAGTATCAAATCTAAACTCTCTATATGGTCTTGCAAACATCTTAGCTACGCTGGAAGATTGGAGCTTATCAGAGCAGTGTTGTTCAGCCTAATTATTGGTGTAGGCAATTTCTGCTTCCACATTTGGTAATCAACAAGATTGAACAACTATGTTGTCGTTTCTTCTGGAAAGGCAATGATAAATCGGCCACTGGTGCGAGGGTAAACTGGAGCAATATTTGCAAATTAAAATCTGAGGGTGGTCTTGGTCTAAAAAACTTAAAAGAGTGGAATAGAGCATGTATGATCAAACTCATTAAAAACATCCTTGCAAGTGAGGGTTCTTTATAGGTTGCCTGGTTAAAGGCTTATGTTCTTAAGGGTAAAGAGTTATGGCAAATGAAAGCTGGTCGTAGTCTGAGTTGGAGTTTTAGAAAAATCCTTAAGCTTCGAACAGAAGCTCATCCTATTCTCCAGAATGGAGCTCTCTCAGTAAGGCAAATATGGAAAGAAATTAGAATGAAGGAGGATAAAGTCCCTTGGCACTCTTTAATTTGGTTCCCTCAAAACATCCCCAAGCTTAGTTTGATTGCATGGATGGTTGTGATTGATAGGCTGCCTACATGTGATTGATAGGCTGCCTACATGTGATCGCCTTCAACGGATGGGAATTGTTTCTATTGGAAGCTGTATTTTATGTAATGATACTTTATAAAATCGAAACCATCTGTTCTTTGAATGCCCGATTGCCACTCAGCTACGGGTACAAACTCTTCTTCTGAATGGGATTAACAAGACTATTTCTTCTTGGGAAGACATGATCTCTTGGGCGAGCAGCACTTGGAAAGGAAAATCTTTATTAATCACTATCCTCAAACTTGCTTGGAGCGCAACCATCTACGTTTTGTGTGGGAGGAGCGCAACCAAAGGATTTTCAAAGGTTGCTCTCGAAACACTGACGAATTACTTAGCAGTATTAAAGACTATGTAGGAATTAAACTTAGGGGAAAAATATTAGAGAAAATAACCTCAGTGACCAAAAATGCCTTATAATATACGATTTTAACCAACTTTTTTTGGATTTGCCAAAATGACCAACTAAATCGCAATGCGATCGATAATTCGCAACAAGGGGGACTCTCGTGCGCCGCCGCCGCCGCCGTCTGTCTCGGGTCGGGTCGGGTCGGGTCGGGGTCGTGGTCGTGGTAATACGTGTCTTCGACACGTCCGCGCAAATACTATCTTTTTAGAGAAAATTCTTAAGAAACAAATGCAATACCACCAGTCGTTACGATTTTGGACTATCGCAACGAATTTGGAATAAATCGCAACGCGAACTTCGACTATCGCAACGAATTTGGAATAAATCGCAACGCGAACTTGGACTATCGCAATGCGAATATGTAAATCGCAATGCGATAGTCGAAGTTTGCGTTGCAAATCTGGAAACTAATTTGCGATACCGGTGATCGCGTTGCGAATTATCGATCGCATTGCGATTTAGTTGGTCATTTTGGCAAATCCAAAAAAAATTGGTTAAAATCGTATATTATAAGGCATTTTTGGTCACTGAGATTATTTTCTCAAAATATTAATAGGCTTGACTATGTTAACTCCAATCTTTGCATTGCTTGGGGTATTGATTAATACCGATCGTTTATTTTTGTATTTGCTTGTATATTCTTCATGTTTTCTGGGATCGATGATTCTTGTAACTAACGTTGTTTCTTGCGTAATAAAAAATTGAATTATCCAAAAAAAAATATTTAATATGTTTTATGCACATTAAAATAACATTTATGACAATTAATTATTTTGTAATCATTGTTGGTTCTTTTATTATTTTACCTATGCTTTGAGTCTATAAATAGAGGTTGATTTTCAATTTCAATACACAACGACAATAATAGTAATTTCCCTTCTATTTATTTATTTTGTTTTGGAGTACGGTTTTTCGATTGTCAAATTATAATCAGGGACAAATGTTTTCAACTTTAATTCTATTTTTGCGACAAGAGTAGTACCCACTGATTCTCACTTCGATATCTGTGTGTACGAATATTGAAGAGTTGTGTTAACGTCATGGGACAACGTCCATTTCAATGATTACATCAACTAAGACAAATTTGCTTCTAAGACATTAGTTCTTCCACGGCACAATTGTAATTTGATTTATTTTGTTTGAATTATTTTTTAAGTCAATACTAATGTTTTGTTTTGTAACCGTCTATTTTTTATCATCGGTATATTCATTTTGGCTATATTCATATTTGTTTCTTTCGATATTGTTAACTGTTTCAAGGAATTAATCTTTTACAATGAGCATAAGCTTGATGAAAAATTTGTGTATCATACGAGTCGAACGCCTTGAATTTCCATTGTTTCCTTTCTATTTGTATAAATGGGATGACCACTTCTTCTGCAATTATTACTAATGTAGGAAGTGCCTTACCCAAAATGCACTTCTTCCTTTATTTTAATGAGACAAAAAAACTTGCTTTGGAGGTACATGAATCATACTTGAAGTAGTTGTAGTTGTATGATTTTAAGAAAAGTCATGAATGCAAACAAATTCTCTTGAGAGGTATAAATGACTGTCAATTTATATAACATATTGATAATACGTACACACGCTGTAGACGTAGTTGCTCGAACTTAAATGCTCTAGAAAGAACAACATTTCATTTACCACTAAGTCCCCTTAATGAAGTTGACTCGCATGTTTCCAGGAACTGGTATGTGGATATTGAATGTTGCTTACTTGGATATAATCTTACCCTATTGATAACGTGCATATACATTCCAAACGTAATTATTCGAACTCGTGTATTCTAAGAATAGCAACATTCTCTTTTACACTAAAACTACTCAATGGGTTCTAAAAGTTGCATTAAAATTTTATGTCGTAGAAATGTTTGAAAATGATCTGTCTGAACCAAACCTGTATTTTTATGCATTTATGTACGTCGTTCCTTCATTGAACAATACAATACACATCAACAATCAAACGCTGCTAGCCAGTAATATGATTTATTAATTTAGGAAAATATCTTCCTTCTAATTCCGAAATCATTGTAGAGAAACTAATACTGGATTATGGGTTATATAATTAGGGTTGATTAGTGGTGTTTATCATCATCAATCATGATGACAACTTCAACCTTTTTTTATATATCTCTACCACTATCTTTTTCATTTGTTCATTACATATTTGATGTATGAAAATGGAACTTGTTTCTCCCCATGCTTTGCACCAGGTGCAGCTTCAATGAGATTCAATGTATTTGCTTCCTAATTGTTAATAGCTGATAATAATATATTTATCTGATTTAATAAGAGAAATAGATTTATATCACAAACAAGTATTACTGTATACTTTTTTTTTATCTAAATAATTAAAGTATTTTTTATCAAAATAAATACCTAAAATTACATCTTTTTCATTTAAGTACTTAATTTTTTTTTGTCGAAGTATGTATTTAAAGTATACCATTATTTTCATCTAAATTCTTAAAAGTTAACAAGTGATATTGATTAAAAAATACTTTATCCTATATGAAAAAGATATTATACTTTAAATATCTATTTTAATTAAAATATTTAAAAATATTTTAATGAAAAAATAATATAAAATATTTTACTTAAATGAAAAGAAAATCTTCAGCGGTTCAGCCTAGAAAGTGTTATGGTAGCAAAATCAACGGTTCTTTTTGACCGTTTTTATTGTTATGATAAGGAAGAGAAGTTCTATGGTGCGACACCTTAATATAAGATTAAAATAAAGCGTTATCGGTTTTGTTATTATTTAAATAACAAAACTGGTAAAAATTACATAAAACATTATTATTTTTACTTAAAACATCAATTTTTAAATATTTCCGGTAAAAGTGTCTAATAATAACAAAATTAGTAGAAATAATAATGTTTTAGATATTTTTTTATCGGTTTGTTATTTATATAATAATAAAATCGATAATTCTTTTTTTAAATGTATATTAAGACTGCCGCACGTGAGTATTTTAAAACAAAGAGAGGAGAAAAATGGAGAGCATGAAAGTGGCCAGAAACTGGCCCCGGGACCCTCTCCCTATACTTTAACTTTCCTTGTTACCTTCAAACTTTTAACTTTCTGGTGGTGATTCCGGTAATTTTTGTGGAGATCTGGTTTTACGATAGAAAAGTGTGTATGTCCTTTATATTATCTGATGTATAGGTATTTATAATGCCCTGAACACATATCATGTAATTAGTATTGATTGGAAGTGTTAGAAAGTGGTAGTTTAGACTAGATGACCACGTGTATCAACATGTGATCATTGGTGATTATGCGCGGCACGGATGTAACTGGCACGTGGTCACTACTGGTTTTTCGCAGAATACAATCTGTTATATATGAAGGTTTGCATAAGCCTTATGTTCGCATGTCAAGGGTTCGTGGAACTCGAGGTTCGCAGTTAGGAACCGTTTATATATAATCATGTGTTTTCTGACACCCTGCAAAGCCTGCAACTTTTCCTCCAAGTCTTCCAAAAGCTTGATTCTTTCTCATGATATCATTTCCCCCAAACTCTCTCCACTTAACACGCACTTTCTTTGATTTATTTTGCAAAAGGAGATTCTTAGGAGAATACCATAAACTTGCTCTAACATTATACTTAGTTTATACCTAGTTTATACCACTTTGTAAAAACCATGATGCCAATTGTTTGTGCTTTTGTTTATATACTTATTTCCATAGGCCAGTATGCAGATTTTGGTTTCGTATGTTTTGGTAACTGTAATTTTGCTCAGGTTTCAATATGCAGCCATAGCCATAGGATTCAGATTTCATTTCATCTTTTGAAGATGGCTATGGCTGGATAATGTAAACGAACTAACAGAGTCAAATTCCGGTCGACGGAAATTTGTGCTTAGTCTTCACTCTTCACTACTTCTTAACTATGCCTACAAGCATTGTCTGACTACGTCAAATCATGTCATATGAATGTTTAATGTGGATTCTGCTTTGTGCTCTATTTTGGTGTTAGCAACGGTGTCATTTCAGTTTGGAAGTCATCCACCACAACTTGCTAGAAATAGATGCATATAAAAATCATTTTGTGTGGGCTCTCCTGTCTTTGCCACTAATCAGAAAAGGTTACTCTTTTCCCTTGAACAATGGAAGACCCCATGTTGTCGTGTTAGATTTGTTGTTGATTCCTTCACAACTATGATTGCCTTGTTTCTTTCCTCATTAGGAATCTGATGAGAGAAAACAGTAAAAGTGGCATTTTTTCCTGCTTTAGTTATTAGGGTTGTTTTCATAACTTGACCCTGCATTATACACTTTTTCTCACTACTTAACTATGCCTACAGCATTGTCTGACTACGTCAAATCATGTCATATGATGTTTAATGTGGATTCTGCTTTGTGCTCTATTTTGTGTTAGCAACGGTGTCATTTCAGTTTGGAAGTCATCCACCACAACTTGCTAGAAATAGATGCATATAAAATCATTTGTGTGGGCTCTCCTGTCTTTGCCACTAATCAGAAAAGGTTACTCTTTCCTTGAACAATGGAAGACCCCATGTTGTCGTGTTAGATTTGTTGTTGATTCCTTCCAACTATGATTGCCTTGTTTCTTTCCTCATTA